TCTAGTAGTTTTTTATCTTTAAAGGGAAGATACCATAAATGCATTATTGTAAATGGGAAATTTTCTATAGAATTCAATTCTATAATCCAAAATCCCGTTAATTCTGCCAATGTTACATTACGATTGTGTACAGTAATTCACTCGAGTTTTGTCAAAATTTCCTTTCCTAAGAAAACAAAACAGAAATTTCCAATTACAAATTCAAACTTATTTAATCAATTTGAATTTTAAGAATTTCTTCAAATTCGTTTGGTTGGACCTATTACTTATGTAGATATGTATATGTGCGTTAATTTCTTGAATGTTCAACAGCTACTTGAAGTTAGTGTAAATATAAAAAAAAAATTTTTTTTTTACCTCACATAAAGGATAAAATCCAAAAAAATAAAAAAAAACCTATTACAACCAAATTTATTACTCTGGACCAGGACATCTTTTTTTCTTTTATTTTATTTTAATTTTTTTCTCTTTTTGTAATTTTTCATTCTGTTTCTTTAAAAGGAAATTACATAAATTTAATATTAGAGATCTACACATATAAAAAGAGAACAAGTAAGTAAAATAAGAGAAAAAAAATTATGGAAAAATTTTTTAAATCGTTTTTGTAATTGCCATTAATAAAATTTAAGTTTAAAAATATTTTTGATTAATTTTAAATAACCTAAGGGAACTATCACTCATTGTAGGTACAATCACATTATATTCTAATTAAAATTGCTTGTCTTATAAATTTTTAAAAATTATTTCAACCTTTAAAGAAATGCAAAAAAAAAAATAGAAGAATAATCAAATGCGTTGACGAGTATTGTAATTCCTGACATATACGTTATGTCGCGTTGGAGTTCGGAATTAACATCAGTTGCACACATTTGATATACTGGGAAACGAGCAATATGTACCCATTTTGCGGGAAATATTAGAAATATCGAATTGCCCAAAATTAAGGTTTCTATACTTGATTGCAATGAAATGTTGAATAATAATATTTGGCATGTTACGTCAATTTATAATTTTAATAGATAACATTTCAACTATGTATATTTGATTTATTTAAATTATTATTTTGTTTAATATTTTAAAAGTATGATTTAGAAAAAATTACTGTTTTTTCATGTATACATACATACGAGTATATAAAATGGGCAAGAATTTTTCATAAAAAAATTATGAAATTCTTAAGTTCATTGACTTTTTTTCAAATATCAGCAATTTAAAGAAGTAGAAAAAAATTTCTTGGAATGTATGTATATGTGTATGTTAATAAATCTAAATAAAACCTGTTTTATTTTTTCAAATATATTTAAGGAAACTCTACACTCATACAGACAATGTAAACGTACATGTGTTTATACACCCAAAACACATGTAATTGCTACATGCTTTTTAAGTAAACACAATTGTATACACATATATGTATGTATTTACAGATCCATACAATATTTATGTATTTATTTATTTATTTTTAAAACTTTAAATAAATTACCAATATTGTTTAAGTTTTATTTTCTCCTACAAATTTTTTTCATTTTTTTAAAGTCAAAATAGAACTTTTTTTAAAACTATTTTTCTGTATATTGTACACAAACACACATAATGTAGAATGTACTTCGGGAAAACTTTAAAATCCTAACATAATATTTAGGTTTGTTGGTTGATTTTTTATTTAGAGAAAGTCATATAAGAAAAGGTTATCTAAAACTATAAATTATAAAAATAAATTAAAACTTTATTTTAAAAATTGGAGCACATAATATTCTAATACTTACATAGTTACGAGTACTTTCTTTTTATTGTATTTAATCTGAAAATGGTTTTGTCTGAGAAGCATTGTATAAATAAAAACGTGTTGAGAATAAAAATGAAATTCATATTGATTTTATGCAATATTTGATTAACTTTAAAATTTTTTTTTGGTAGATGATTGAAATAGTTTTATTTGAAATTATTTGAACACATCATGCGCTTCTATAAATTTACAACGATTTAATTATTTAAAATTTGCATAACCATAATTTAAACAGTCGGCAGAAGAACAAGGCGACGGATCACGTTTGAGAACATTGGCTGTTTGAGGCTGGGGTAACAATAGCACGGTTTGAATTAAATACATGCTTTTGCCATTTTAAAAGAGGTCATAAACATGTATGTATTCGTTGGGACAGGGTTATACTTAAATTTTAATCAGATATCTATCTACATTTTGATATCTGAAAGGTTTATTTTGGATCACCATCCCGAAAATCAAAAAAAAAAAATTAAAACTTTAAAAATTTATACATACATATGTATATATCTAGATACTCGTGCTTTTACGTTTTAAATTATTAAATATCGTTAGAGTTTAAGCCTTTACCACCTAACAATTATCACTTGTTATCTGAAACTATTGACGAATAACAACCCTAAATCATCAAATTATTTAAAATTTTTTAAGAAAATGTGCTAAAAAAATATTTAATTAATGATCCGTAAAATATACGTATTTCTTTTTATTAACAATGTCCTACATACATGTATGAAAAACATGTTAGTTTCAAATGTATGTGTATGAAATGTGTGTGTGCCCTAAACATGTATAATTTTTATACTAAGACGCGTCTGGTTACGAAGTTTTACGGTTGGTTCCCCTTCTCATTTCTGGAAATCTATATTAAGACAAAATAAGATAGTATTTTTTTTTGCATAGATTTTGACTTGTCATTTTCATATTACGCATACATACTGACACAATCATCTGATAACATATAATAAAAATCATGAAATAATTTTAACACTATTATAATATAGACTAATCCGTTTTACTCTCGTATGTGTGTATCTTATAGAAGAATTACGTTTAACAGAAAGTGACGTAGAACTGAGAATATCGGAAGTTTTTACGAAGCCCTTTAAAAGATGCTGTGCCATAAGGTTTTCTTCATTTTAACTATAAATGTGTGTGATTAAGTCAAAATTAAATACGAATTATTGCATATTTTTAGGAAAATTTAAAAAATTTTCATAGAAAAGACAAAAAGCTTCATATTTAAGTATAAAAATAACTGTGGTTAATTTAGATCATTGTTATCTCTATTAGATGAATAACAAAGATTTTACACTAGAATAATACACTAGTCTCCTTTCAGACATTTCAAAATATCTGCCGACCATTGTTCCGTCACTAATTAAAACTAATTCAAAAGTAAACCAACACCACCTTAACTAGATTTATTTAAATTCATTTTTAATTCAAAAACCTTAACCAGAATCCAATTGTACTTTAACTGTTGTTTAGCTATTGATTTTCAAATATTGTGCTTGTATATAAAAAAGATTTTCCTATAATATGTACGTGTATAATATATATATATATATATATATATATATAATATATAATATCCATTATTCTTAACTAACTTTTTTTTGGAAAAATTTGAATTTTAGCAAAAAAATGGAAACTTACAAGCAAAAATCATCAAATAGACAAAATATTTTTTTATATTCTGGTTTTTTAATATCAACAGAAACATGCATTGGTACGATATATACATATATGTATGTATTGAGAATAACATTCACAGGATTTATAGTAAAAAAATTATTTAAATATGGTTTTCTTAAATTTAGGTAGCTAAGGTTAGGAATTTCATAAAGCAATAAAAATGTAATTTATTTTTTTTTAATTTAAATTGTTTCTGTAAAGTTCGTAATAACTTGGTAAATCTACCATAAAATTCTATTTAATTTAACTTTTTTCGAAAGTAATTTAAGTAAAGTACCGTTAAAGTATTTTTTTTTTATTTAAAGTGATTAAATTGAACGTGAAATACAAAAAATTTAATTTCGTATTGTGAAATTTGGAAATATTATATTGATAATAAAAAATTTTAACATTTGGCAACACTGATTCGAACGATTTATGTAAACAAATTAAGTATTAAAATAAATTTTTGATATTTCTAATCTTACAATATGCAAGAAATTTTTATATCTATGAATAAATCGAAAATATTGTGTAAATTAAATTTCGACTCTCGGTCATGGCATTTCGATTCATCATGTTGGTATGATGAATCGAAATCATTTGATTATATTGTAACTGTCACTTGAGCAAATGTAGTTGTGTTCATAGTAAAGTTGAGATATGAAATAAAAAATTGGTCATAAATTGTAAAGTTAAATTTAATTAAAAATTTTGCATGAAATAGGATGCATGTAGTGAATATAAAGCATTTTAAATCCTAAAAGCACAGAGATGAAAAAATTCATTGTTACCAGAAACAAAACAAACTGCGTTTATTGTCGGAAAATCCACTTTTTTCGCAAAAACTCATAGTTTATTGTGTGAGATTTTTTAAATTAAATAATCACGGATAAATAACAATCGAATGCATAATAACGTAGGTACGTATGGATATAACAACATATATTTTATATGTATCTTATTTTAACAGACCCTGTTGTTTAAAAGTTCATATTATATATTCATATGTGTGAATATGAATATAAAATGTGTAATTTATGTATTAAAAAATTAATATTAATTAATGTTCATATGCCATTTTGGGATTATTATAAACGTTTCATATGATTTAACCTATTATTTTCATAATTTTATTAATTTCCTATACAATATTTTCATTTGATTGATCTACAATAATGGGGTTGAAATTAATTCTTGTATAATTAAAATTTACTTACAATAAATGTTTAAATTTACTTACATATAAATTTACTGTTTACGAATGCAATTTATGCAATTTGTGTAATATATAATTCAATTTTTAATTTAATACTACAATTATGTTATAATAAATCTGGAAAAATTTCTTGAAGTTGCTTTTTTAAATTAATATTTACAAGTTCAGAACGATGATAAATACATTGAGTATAATCAGATTCTAAAGTTCTTTTAAAAAGATTTATATTTAAAATATATTCAAAATCAGCTTCACGACCAACTCTTAAATATGTATTTAATATTTTAAGAAGTGGAAATTTTTCATCATCGCAAATTCCAAGAAAATCATCGTCATCTAAAAATGCTACAGCCACACCTGCCATTTTATTATCAATAACATATTTTGATTTAAGTTCTAAACTTCTACGATTTTCAAAACCAACCCATTGATTGTTATCGTATGCATATGGATTTTTTTGTGTATCATCCCATCTAATAGTCCATGATCTTTCTAATAATCTCGTACACAATTCCATGTAACTCATCAAACCTTCATATTGTACATATTCCGTCTTTTGACCAATTCCGATAAATGGTGAACCAACATCAGTCTGATTATTATATTTTAATGTAAATGTTCTACCAAATAATGGTATACCCATAAGTAATTTTTCAGGAGCTGCACCACGTGTAATCCAATTATTGACAATAGCATCAACACTTGAATCAATATCATTTTCATATGTATATAATGCACTAGCCACGCCAATATGTTTACTCCAATAACCATAAAAATCATATGAAAATAAATAAACATAATCAACATTTTCCATAATATCTTTAACAATATAAGAATCGTCCATTAAATGTGTGTATCCATGACAAATAGTAACTAGAATAAAGTTCCTTTTTAGAAATCTAGGAAAATTTTAAAAATATTGATTAAACATTTAATTTCTTAGTGAAGATTCGAAAGAAGACTTACTCTAGCTTCAATTTTTTCAGTAATGAAATAAAACTATATTTATCAATATCAGGATTGCCACCTCTATCACCTGGATAAATCCAATGTAATGCCAAACCATCAAAATTATTTTTTATTAGAAATTCTATTGTGCTATTAACAAATCGTTGTTGATTTTCTGCAATACTAAATAGAGCTGAATATCGATTTGAACTTTCAGTGCCATCAAAACCACCAACAGCAACCAAGGTTTTTAAACTTTTATTGTGATGTTTTTTGTTATTAAATTTTTTAATATTGCCTTTTCCAAATAATTTAAATGTATAAATTAAATTTTTCTCTGAACTAAATCATAGATTACTTACTTCTTCCGTAATTCTCTGATAAATCGAAATTAGGTTTTAACGATTTAATTTTACCTTCATCATCTATACCCAAGTATGCATAAATCATATGAGTGCAATAATGTTCATTAATAAAATCAACTTTAAATCTGACGATACCTTTCCTTTCACCATTCATATACATACAAAAGATTTTTTCTAAAATTTATGATTGCATTAATTAGTTATGTGTTCGTGTTGGTTTTAAATTTTTAACTTTTAGTTTTGAGTAATGAATTCGATTTTTATCAAGAATCTATACTTACTCCCATCTGAGTTTGTCGCGTAACTCACATTGAAATCCGGTAATATTAAAATAAATAGTAATAATATTATTGACAACATTGTTTACAATTCAACTATTTAACATAAACTGTGACAATAAGATCCGAATTATTGTAAAGCAAATAATGTGTTGAGTTTCTTATCAAATAAAATAAAATATTCTCATTATCATACACGAGGTATTTAATTTTAATTTATAATGCAGGGTCCCATCCATAGTTTCTATCGTTCTAAAATTTAAAAACTGAAATAAAAATTTTTTTCAAGTAATTATTGCTAACGTTTGATTATTTTTCAGTGACATTCGGCAAAAGAAATTTTTATTACACTTAATTTTATTTATTATTTTGTGTTGAAGGTGTACTGCAACATTCTTAAATTAGTATTTTCTGAGCTTGACACGAAAATAAAGTAAAATTGTCAAAAGAAAACAAGCTAATGATGACTCCATCCATTATATTACACTGTTGACATTTGCTGTTTTACGTGACCCTAATTGACTTTTCAGGTTCCGTTAATAATGAGATTATGAATAAATAATATTATGTTGTATGAATATTTTTCAAATTTGTAATTTGGACAACTCTCTTCAAAGGTACATAGATAAGAGTATATGAATATAAAATAAATTATTTGAATATTGTTAAATTATATTTAAGAAAATGAAATAATATTCCTGTTTCGCATTTGGTGAGAACAGTGCTTAATTAATGTAAAGTACAATAACTGACGTCCACCAGCGATTTACACCATGCTGATAATTCTTGTTTTTTTTTTTTAATTTTATGGATTTTATGATTATTTTGGAATTCCCAACAAATTGTTGTGGCTTTGATTAAATTTTATTTACATTTTTTTGAATATGTAGGCGTCCTGACAGTTATGGTACAAGAAATATTCGTTATCACGTATTTAATTCTATTTCTATACGCTGTACTGTATGTGTTGTACGTGTACATTTTTCAGTTAGATTTAATGAGTATAGACTTTAATATGTAGTCTTTCTCGGTTAAATGGCTTGGATAATTCTTTATAATTGTAATCGTATTAACAATTTTTTAAAATAAATTTGCAATCTTCCAATAAACTAAAGGATTAAAGCAAAATTTTAACATAAATTTGTATTTTTTTACGAAAAATGGAGAAAAATTTTTTGATGTTAATTTTTCAATTTAACGAATTCAAAATTTCAGAACGATGGTAAACACATTGAGAATAACCAGAGTTTTTCGTCCTTTTAAATAGGTATGTATTTAAAATATATTCGAAATCAGATTCTGGCCCAACTTTTAAATATGAATTCAAAGTTCTTAAAAGCGGATATTTTCCATCACCACAAATTCCAAGAAAATCATCATCTTCTAAAGATGCAACAACCACACCTGCCATTTTGTTCTCAATAACATATTTTGCTTTAAGTTCCAAGCTTCTATGATCTTCAAAACCAGCCCATTGATCATTATCAAAAGCATATGGATTTTTTTGTATATTATTCCATTTAACAGCCCATGATCTTTCTAATAATCTTTGACATAATTCCATGTAACTCATTAAACCTTCATACTGTACATATTCTGTTTTATTACCAGCTCCAATAAATGGTGAACCGACATCAGTTTCATTATTATATGTTAATGTAAATGTTCTACTAAAAAATGGTATACCCATAAGTAATTTTTCAGGTTTTGCACCACGTTCAATCCAATTATTAACTATTTTATGAACACTTGAATCAATATCATCTTTATATGTATATAGCGCACTAGCCACACCAATATGTTTACTCCAATAACCATAAAAATCATATGAAAATAAATAAACATAATCAACATTTTCCATAATATCTTCAACAATATAAGAATCGTCCATTACATATGTGTAACCGTGACAAATAACGACGAGAATAGAGTTTTTTTTTGAAAACCTAAAAAACAATATGAAAATATTAATTATTAAGGACTTGTATGTTTATAATAGAATACTTACTCCCGCTTCAATGTTTTCAGTAATGAAATAAAACTATATTTATCGATATCAGGATTGCCACCTCTTTCACCTGGATAAACCCAATGTAATGCCAAACCATCAAAATTATTTTTAATAAGAAATTCTATTGTACTATTTACAAATCTTTGTTGATTTTCTACAATACTAAATAGAGCTGAATAGCGATTTGAACTTTCAGTGCCATCAAAACCACCAACAGCAACCAGAGTTTTTAAACTTTTATTGTGATGTTTTTTGTTATTAAATTTTTTAATATTGCCTTTTCCAAATATTTTAAATGTATAAATTAAATTTTTCTCTGAACTAAATCATAGATTACTTACTTCTTCCGTAATTCTCTGATAAATCGAAATTAGGTTTTAACGATTTAATTTTACCTTCATCATCTATACCCAAGTATGCATAAATCATATGAGTGCAATAGTATTCATTAATTAATTCAACTCTGAATCTACCAATACCATTTCGTTCGCCATTCATATACATACAAAAGATTTTTTCTAAAATTAATGATGGCATTAGTTAGATAAGCCACTATTACCTTTTTTTGGGATTTCAAATCTTGAGCTTTTCATTTGAAAAAACCTAATTTGATTTTTAATAAATTTTTATACTTACTCCCATCTGAATTTGTCGCATAGCTCGTATTGTAATGTGGCAATATTAAAAAAGTTATTAATATTAATGACAACATTGTTTATAACTCAACTGTTCAACACAAACTGTGACTGCTAGTTTTAAAGTATTTGCAAAGCTAATAAGTAATTTGTTGAGAGTCTTATCAAAGGAAAAAAACTATTTTTTACTACAAGTGAATGACTCAATTGTTATTTTAACATCAATGCTACAGTTTTTACTCTTTTGAAATTTCGGAATTGATGTGAATGTAAAGTAGTAATTTGAGCCGCAAAGACTCTTTGTAAACAACTTTCTTGATTTATTCAATATTTTATGTCAAAGGAGTATTATAATATTTTTAAAATAATTATTTCTTCTACTTCACAAGAATATAAACTAAAAATTATAAAAGAAAAAAAAAAACTAATGGTGACTCTATCATGTATAATATTACAGTGTTGACATTTTGCCTTTTGACATTACAATAATTGATTTTTTCAGTTCCGCAAATAATTGAGATTATGTAAATAACTGAGAGTATATCAATTATGTGCGATATACATGCGTACAAAATACGTATATACATATGTTAAATTTCTTTTAAATTAGTTCTACTTTAGAGGGAAACGTGTTTAAAAAAAAGCATTACTAATTTTTCGATGGGATTTGTTGTGCTTCTGTTTAGACTTTTTGCTCCTGAATAAATTAAACAAGTGCGCAATGTAGATAATGAGCAATTACCGACGAACGATAATTAACGAATTATTGATAATTTTTGTGTTAATTTTAATAAAATGATTATTTTGGAATTCCCAAATAAATAATCAGAAAATGTTTTGGCTTTGATTAAATTTTTCTTATATTTATGTGTATTAGATAGTATGTAGGAATATTGAAAATTATGGTAAGTACATGAAAGATTTTTTTTTATCTATTTAGTTGTTTTATTTTATATTATATGGTGTATAATTTTCCAGTAGATCCATAACTGGATCTAGTGAAAATGTTAAAAATAGATATTGCGAGATACGTCTCTAAAATTTTGATTCAGCAGAAGCGCTATCATTACTTTAAGCCAAGACTTATAAACGATGATTTTTGTTAATGAGGAGACAGTGGAAAGTTGGATTAAACGTGCATTAATGTCACGGATTTATGCGGGACGGGACTGAATTCTTTACTTAGTTACATTCTGAAACTGCATTTTATCATGTTCGTCACTCTAATAATCCTTATTAGAAGTGAGACTGTCAATTATGCGAACCAAAAATGATATTTTATATTCAGTTCAGTTAAGTTCAGCAGCCGTGCAGAGTGGCCACATTACAGAACGAGTGGCGGCAGCGGTATCAGTATAATCACACCCATCTACATAGCAACATACGGGTAACATCATGTAAAGCACTTCATGAATTAGTTTTAAGTTCTTTTCTTGAATTTGTTTAATTTTATAAAATATTTTATGAATTAATTATGTAAATTTCGTCTAAAATCCGCTAGTTTTAAATATTGAAGAACAAAGTTTTTCTTTTTTGCTAAAACTTTTTTTAGTTTAAAACTTTAAAACTTTATTCTACAACTTTTTATAATATCTGGGATAAAAATGTCACAAAACGAACAACAACCAAAAAATAGACTTTTTTTAATTTTTCAAGTCTCAAGGTTATCATTATTAAAATGAACTTTAACGAAATTTCCTTTAAAACCGAAGAAAATGTTATTCAAATTCTTCGTCTTTGCACCGTTATTTTAATCTTTAACCTACTTTATACAATAATTATAGCGTAATGAAAATTTCTTTTCCTTCTACACAATATTTTTAACAAAATTCTTATAAGCCATTCATTCTCTTTAGTTGTAGAAGTTCTTCCAATATAAGGACTACTCAATAAGATCAAGTTCGCAGAATTACTCAAAAAAATTATTGTATTTTTCAGGAAAATAATTCCAGGAAGTGTCCAAAGAGACACTAAGAAGAGATTTTATTTCCATTGAATATTTTATACCATTCATCGTTTATAATCAAAACCCAATTATAATCGAAAATAGCAATATTGAAAGGATGTATAAGATGCAATTATATAGCTATTATTGAATGCTACAACTTTATTACTATAGGAGTGAAGAGAATGAAGGAATAAAAATTTAAGAATTTAAAAATTAGGTAAAGTTTTTCAATAAAAATTGAAAAATGTTTAAAATATCCCCGCTTCCTGTTCGGTTCTCTTAGTCCCATTTGCTTTTCTATCTATGGAAGTTGCTCTAACACAATTTCTGATTATTGAGAACGAACGAAATTAAAGACAACGATAAATAAATCTGAAAAAAAATTTTTTTTTTTTATTTTATTTTTTTTTTTTACTAACTTTATCCTTTTCTTTATTTTCGAATCGATTAAGGATTAGAGTGCAATTTGAATAATTTTTGCATTCTTAATAAATGAACCAAATTTAACTATTATTTTAAGATTATTGAATTTAATAGCTCCCTTTGCTTTTTTTTTGGAATTTCATTAAATTTTTTTGTTCCGATCAATTTTGTTAAAAGAATTGGTTGATATGGTTACCAGGAATACAAAGAATCGAAGTAAAATTTATTGCTTATTATAATTTTATTTAGCCGATACAGAATAAGATCCTGCTCTATAACCAAATTATTAAACCGGTTTGGTTGTATGGTATCCTGTTGTGGGGATGTGCCAAACAAATACATGTCCAGCGAATACAAACGTTCCAGAATAGGGTTTCGTGGAATATCATGATGCCCCTTGGTATGTGCGAAATGGAGATTTGCATAGAGATCTAAAGATTCCATGTGCAGTTGACGAAATTAAAGAAAGGGCGGAGGCGGTGAGACATAGAGCTCGTCTGGGGCAACATGTGAACGTAGAGGCCCTTCGGCTCCTTGTTATCCGGGCTTCTCATAGAAGGGTAAAGAGGACTTTGCCTTCTGAAATAGCGCAAATGCGCTTGACGGAATTGGGGAGCGTTAAATCTCTTTCAATCTATATTAAAGAAAATCTGATGGTTGGTCTAAGGGGACTAGTATCAGAATATGAGGAGGACGTTTTTGTGGTAAAACACATAACTAACTATGGGTTGCCAGGGAATGGCATGTAAGTAGCATTAATGCTTTCCTCCTTCCTTCGATGAAAAAAAAAATTTATGAAAAGAAAAATCTTCTCCAACGAACTCAGGTATGATTTATTTATTTTACTACTATCCATGATGTCATATTGATCGTGGCGATTTTTTCCATCACTATTTGAGCCGTTCAACACTTTTTCTCTTCTGCAGGATCCACTGCAATGCCTGCCTGGTAATTGTTTCACGTGGTTCTGCGATTGGTTCTTGTTAGGTTAAAACTTAAAAAAGTCTGTTTTGTTAATTCGTCTGGGGCAGAATACTTAACAGTTTACTATCATTGACTTCTATTTATGTGATTCTTCAGAGACTTCAATTATTGCGAAGATAATTGCAATGGGCTTGTGTCTGTGATGAAGGAGATACAGTTTGTCGTATTAATTTTGGATTGATTTGGTTTTTTTTATCTTGGATCTTTGAATTGCTAATCATTTGCAAATTTACATTTATAATTTAACGCTTCTACAAATATGCATAATATAAATATATTCACAACACTATAAACTGTTATACTCGTACCACAAAATTCACAAACATATAATCTAAACTTTTTCCTTCTCAAATAAGTTTTTTTGGATTTTATGTATAAAATTGATTGAATGGTTGTGTATGCAATATTATTGAAAAATTACATTATATAGTGTGTGTGTTCTATATGTTTATGAAAAGATCAAAGTTTTCTATAAACTTTTCACTTCAGAAAAATAATTATTCCACTATATATGTTCGAAGATGTACAAGTAATGTATATAAACAAGCCTTTTCTTAATGAAGTACCAATAAAATTTTCTAGAAAATATTTTTGTTAATAATCCTCTTGTCTTATCAGTTAACGTACAAATATCTGTAAATATGTGTTATGAACTTGTTATATTTACTTATACGAAATTATTATTGAAATTCTGTTTAGATGTTAATGTTATTTTACGTTTAATTACAAGCAAATCTAGTATATGTACTCTAAGTACACCGTTTATAGCAATTTAAATTGAAAATTGAATGTACACATAAAATTTTTAATTGAAATATTCTGAGACGCAAGTACTATACTCAAAAGATAATAATTTTAATATTATTTGTGTTTTCTAAAGGGTACGAAATGGTAATTAAGAAATTTTAATAGTATTTTAGTAATATAGACTTTGGAATAATGAGATTTGATAGAAAAACTTATTGAATCTTTTGATAATTTGAAAGAATTTCCGAACCTTTAAGAAACAATCGTCCTAAATCGTTTTGATACCCTGAAATGACTTATCCGGAAAGACTTTCGAAAAACTTAACTTATTATTTGTTGTTTGCGGATGATGGCGTGATATGGGTTTTTGTTTAAATAACGACGTTCAAGTTATGCCGGCACTGTCAAATAATTCTGTCTTCGCTATTCATCAAAATGAAAAGTAATCCATTTCATTTAATTCACAATACTTTAGGAGAAAAAAAATTTAATATAATTTGCTATAACATGTACAGGATTAAATTTAATCCCTTTGGAAAAGAGACACACACACACACATTTTTTCTCTCATATTGTCTTTGAATTTTAACTCAAATTTCCCATTATTGTTATTTTTCTATTATTTTGTTTTTCCTTTCTCTTTCTTTTTTCCTTACTTGATTTTTGTTGCACCCCCTCCCCCCTTTTTCTGTTTAATCGGCGTATATGGAAGTGTCAACAAAATTTTACTTGTTCTCTCTCACTCGTTTATTTAAAGCAGTTGAATTTGTCTGCCCTTGGCATGAAAAATGAACAAAACAAAAATTTTGTTATCCTTTTTTCCTGTTCAGTTGCGTGTAAAAAAAACATATTAGTGAACTATTTAAGTAAACTATTGTAGGTATAGATGAGTATGGATGTGTGTACTTATGAAATATGTTATATAAGTTTTGTTGATGGCATATAAGAGAAATTCTATTAATGATAATTATAAAA